AAATGGCTGAATCTCAATAAGAACAGTAAGCTTTGTGATATGTCGATATGTCCTATTTTATGTCCTGAGTTTCCTGATGTCTTAATGTGTTCTATTCCATTCTAACTTCCCAGCTCTGCAGTAGCCATAAAAGCTAATAGCTTATAGTCCTAGTAAAAACCAGCAGCCTGGCAGCCAGGGGAGGAGGCAAAACAGAGTTGGAACTCCTTCAAAGTCCCATTTCCAGAGAATTGTCATCATGTGGGTTGTGTGGCAGTTCCCTGGAACCCCTCATGCACAGGGGTTGTCTTTATTTGAAGTGACTCATATTTTGTCTAGTGAAAAAGCCTTTCTCTGGGGTGTTTCTCATCAACAGTCAGCGGCAGCTGTTTAACTTCACAGCTGCCTGAAGCAGCAGTAATGGTCGGGGCAAACGAGAAGCTGACCAAAGAACTTAAAGGGGAAAGCTGGGCAGTGAGATGTTCATAGGGAACTTTGAAAAGCCCCGTATGTTCCTGGGAAGCTGGAAGCGCACACACGTGGGCAGGGCTGTGGGCTTGCCAGGGAAGATTTGACAAGGCTCTGTGTTCTCACCTCTTCCCCAGTGTTGACGTCTTGAACAAGCAGACAGTGAAGACTAAGGCAGAGCTGTCAACTGCCTGCCTGGGCATTGAAGGCATGCCCCAACACACACACGCACAACCCGTAGCAAAGTCTGGGAGCCTTACCAGTTGAAGGCATTTAAGTTATCTCTGGCCAGTCATTAGCAGCCCACTAAGCTAACCCAACAGGCTGAACACAAGAAAGAATACAGAATTTACCAAAGTAGTTCAGTAACAACAAAAGCAGCAATAAACAAACAGAGCGACAGTGCTTGGTTTGGGAGGTATCCGATGCACAGAGTTGCCACATAATATTATTTAAAACGTTAAATGTTTATTTAAAAAAGTCACGAAACAGACAAATGAGAGTATGGCCCATACACAGAGAAGAAAACAACTAATGGAAACGGTCTTTTTTAGATTCCACACATAAGTGAGTTCACGCAGTATTTGCCTTTCTGTGTTTGGCTTATCTCACTTAGCATAATGTCCTCCAGGTTCATCCGTGTTGTAAATGACAGCATTTCCTTTTTTCTCATGGCCTGAATAATATGGCCTGTGTCTGTCTATATTTTTTCTTTATCCATGTGTCCACATTTTCTTTATCCATTCATCTGTTGATAGAAATGTTGTTTCCATGTCTTGGCTATTCTGAGTAATGCTGCAGTAAACATGGGGGTGCAGGTATCTTTGCAAGATACTGATTTCATTTCCTTTGGATAAATACCCAGAAGTGGGATTGTCACATCATACAGTTCTATTTTTAATTAATTGTTAATTACATATTTGTATATAACCATTATTAATTGTATAATTAATTAATATTACTTATTATTTCCATTTATTTGGGTCTTCAATTTCTTTGATCACCTTTGAGAAGTTCTTAGACGAATATAACAATACGCTTTCTAAGGCTCCATTCCTGGAGAGTGATTCCGTTTCAGGAGAGGCCCAAGAACCTGAGTTTGCAGGTCCTTTTGATGCATGTTGTCCTGACCACAGTTGGAGACATTCTGCTGTGAGACTTGAAATACTGCTCTTGGCTTTCTGTGACAAGAGGCCTGGCCAGCGCTGCCTGTGAAAGGCCGTTCTGATGGAGACATTGTGGTTCAGGGCTAGGTGAACACGCTCCGAATCTCTAGGCTCGAATCTCATCGTTGACACTTGTGGATTCTTGAACAAGCTACTTAGCTACTTAACCCTTCGAGTCACAGTTTCATCAACTTTAAAATGGGCAAAACTGGCAACCACCTTGTTAGTTTACCATGAGTGTTCAATGAACTGGATGAGAAGGGTAAGGCACTTAGCACAGTGCACCCAGCACATGATGAATACTCAGTAGATGGTGCTTTTCTCCTTCCTCTTTATCCTCCTGGTCTTTAACTCCTAAATTATTTGACCAGGCCTAACAGCCCCAGATTATCTTAGAGATTCTGGTTTTAATAGTATTGGATCTTTGGGCTGTTTTGGTTGGTTATTTATTTGTTTGTTTGTTTCTTTATTTTTGTCCAATAGGAGCATCAAACTTCTTCTCTAAGCCACTTGATTTCTTGCAAACATAAATCTCTCTTCCTTTTTTCCTTTCTGTACAGATTAGGAGGCCTGAGGCCTTTCCATACAGAAAGGAAAAAAGGAAGCATTTTTACATTCAGTTGTCAGTGCATTTCTATATATGATCATTTTTAAACATGTTTATTTATTTTGAGAGAGAGAGTGCGCGCTTGCACGAGTGGGGGAGCGGCAAAGAGAGAGGGAGAGAGAGAGAATCCCAAGCAGGTTCTGTGCTGTCAGCTTCGAGCCTGATGCAGGGCTTGATCTCACAAACCATGAAATCATGACCTGAGCTGAGATCAAGAGCTGGACACTTAACCGACTGAGCTACCCAGGCACCCCTATATATTTGATCATTCTTAACTTAGAGATATAAAATGAGCAGGATGAGGGGCGCCTGGGTGGCTCAGTCAGTGAAGCATCTGAATTTGGCCCAGGTCATGGTCTCATGGTTAGTGAACTCGAGCCCCGCGTCAGGCTCTGTGCTGACACCTTGCACCTAGGAGTCTGGAGCCTGCTTCAGATTCTGTGCCTCCCTCTTTCTCTGCCCCTTTCCCACTCACACTCTGTTTCTCTCTGCCTCTCATAAATAAATAAACATTAAAAATTTTTTTTAAAAATGAGCAGGATGAAGGATCACCACAATAATCATATGAAGGTGCATTGGGCATTTTCAGTGGGGTTTAGGCTTTCATTTGTATTTCCCTTTTATTATATGGTCGTTTTTAATTGTTTTCAGCAGCAATGTTAGATTCTCAAACACAAATTATTATCATGATTTTAAAGTTATAACATTCTCTTGCTTTGGGGGGAACTAAAATGATAGCTATCATTGTATAGAATGGAGACAGGTAGATGACCATGCTGAGAACCACATTGCTTGCCCTGGGGAATAGAGGCCAGTACCAGGCACATATAAGATCCCTGAGGCTCAGAAAATTTCTCCAAGTACTTTTAATATTTTGAGTCCCTTAGGAATAAGTTCTGTAATTCCTAGGAATGTTTCCTCTTTTCCATTCTTTGCCTGCTCCTTGGTAAGAGCAAGCAACAAACTTCCTTGATTATAGCATCTCAGATATTTAGTATTGACTAAAATTTCTTATTGGTACTGTCAGTGTTCAGGGCTTCCCATTTTGCAACTGATGGAGGTTTGTAAAATAACTAGGGCCTTTGGAATTTACTGTTCATAATCTTAAGTAGTTTTCGAGGCATAGTGAAAAGGTCAGGTCAGTTCCCATTTTTGCATTAGGCAGCTTTATGACAAAGTCCTGCAAGTATCAGATAATGATAGCCAACAGTATCCATTAAGACAACCTCTTTTATTTTTATTTTTTGTAAAACATGAGTCCATTTAAGGTAGCATGCCCTGTCTGTTATTAAAGAGGCTCTCAGGAAAAGGAATGATGAGACAGAAGTATGCTCCTGTTTTTCATTTTCAGTAATTGATGTCCTTTGCTCAGTAGTGACACAGTATTGAACTTTTAAGGATTCCCTTTGTAGCCAGCATTGGAGAGGGATTAAAGCAATGAGTCTGCCAATATGTAATCACTTCTTTCTTAACTTTGGTCAGACCTTCTCTACTTTTAATAACTTCGGGTTCAGACCCCTGTGATTTTTCCATATGTCACTAAGCCAGATCGTGGTAAGCGTTTGTGTGGCCTGAATGCCCTCAGAAGCTTTGTTAGCTGAAGTCAACAATATCAAGTAAAAAGTAGCTTTAAGTATCTGCCTGTAAGGCTGGGTACAAAGAAAGCTGTGGTTCCTGCCCTTGACGGTCTTACACTCAACTACAGATAAGACTGATACTGATAGATACAAAAAGCATATAAGCCCCTTTGATGGTGAATTTCATGGCATGTGAATTATATTTCAGTTTTTGAAAGTGCATAGACTTTGAAACAAAAAACGTGTAAATAACATTCCAGGGGTAAATACAAATCCTGGAATAGTTATAGAAAGTTAATAGTGGGAAGATTTGGTCAAAGGATTATTAAAGGGAAGTTTCTTTCTTGTTGCAAGTTTATTGAAGGGAATGAATTATGAGACCCACTTGAAGGGAGAGGAGAGAGGTTTTGGAAAGAGCACAATCTGGGCTCGATGCATAACTGGCAAATAGGATAGTAGATCAGAATGACTTAATGAAATGAGTCTGTGAATTTGAGAGAAGTGGAGAATGAGTGGTATTCATGGAAACTGATCAAGAAGGCCAAGAAAAAGAATCTGCAACGTACAGTTTTCTTGGGGGTTGTGCTCCTTTGTAAGGGCTTGGTGGTTGTTGTAGCTCTGCATTGCTTAAGGCTCCCTGGCTAGGGAGCTTTGCCCACGCAAGGCTGGACTTTAAACTCACTCTGGCTCTTGGAGGCATAGGTGAGCTACTGGTGTGGCTTTGTGCCTTTCTAGGAAGGCTTGAGCTTTTTGGGGTTGTCTCTTGTTCCTTAGGAAACTTCCATCAGGGAAGTGATGATGGGAGGTGGCCTGTCAGCACGGACCCCATGTGGCGGTGACATTTCAGCTGTATAATTCTTGAACGGCAGAGTTCACGGGGAAACTTAAGTCTGAGAGCCCCTTCTAATTGCCCTGGGCTGATAGTACCTGACCTGAAGCTAGAGCTCATTTTGTTTATTTTCCACTAAAAACTGTTTGAAGAGGGACCAGTTTTAAGTAATTGAATGTTTTCAGGTTATTAAGGATGGTGTCCAGTCCATTTTAGAAATAATATCGTACCACATCATTCAAATCATTGCTAGACCCCGTGACATGTTGAATTGCCCCATCTATTATCGATTGTAAATTTTACAGCATGACAAGCCTGACATGGGCATAATTTCTTCCCTATTGTTTTTTGTTTTGTTTTTTCAAATTATGAAGGAACCTCAAACCAGTCACACAGCTGTATGTCAGTGTGGATGCTAGCACCAAAGATAGCCTGAAGAAAATTGACCGCCCACTCTTCAAGGATTTCTGGCAGAGATTCCTCAACAGCTTAAAAGCCTTGGCAGCAAAGGTAAGAATTATGACATCTTTAAAAGGGGGTGGGGGGGGGGTGGGAAAGAAGAAGTGGAGAGAGGTGGTTTTTAAAAAAAAAAACCTTCAACCTTGTTTTAGACTTCCACCCACTTTGATTATTCAATAAATATTTATTGAGTTCCTCTTAAGTTTGTAGCACTCTGCCTTTTATGTATAATTTGTCCTTCATGTATTTAGGGAGAGAGATACATGCTCCCAAAGTTAATTAATAAAACATGGTAAAGTAGCAGTTTATAGCTACCCTAGAAGAGATACCAGCAAATAGTATGTGTTTAAATACGAGATTAATTTTCTTGAATTTCTAAGACCAAATTTCCTACCTATAAGGGACTCAGCCTCAGAATTTCCAAATTTAATGCCTTTTTCTTCCAGCATTTGCCCTCTTTTATGTCTTCTCTTAGGTCATATTTACTTTCCTAGTCTTTTATTTTTTTAAAGTTTATTTATTTTGAGAGAGTGAGCACATGTGAACGGGCTGAGGGCAGAGAGAGAGGGGGAAGGAGAGAGAACAGGCAGGGGAAGGTTAGAAGAAAAAGGGGGAGAGAGAGAACCCCAAGCAGGCTCCCAACGCGGGGCTCGATTGTATGATGTGATCCATGAGATCGTGACCTAAGCCAAAACCAAGAGTCTGACGCTTAACCGACTGAGCCACCCAGGCACCCCTACTTTCCTATTCTTTTCGACCTAAAGTAACCTTCTGATTCTTCTTTTCCGTTAACCCCATATTGTAACAGTTGGTATTTTCTGTTAGTTCTGCCTCTCTTCTCTCATAGCCATTCCCTTGTCCTGTTCTCTTTGCTTTTGCCTTGCAGTCCTTCATACTTTACTCAAACGTGACAGATAATGAGAGTCACCACAGAAGCTTCAAAAATTACAATTTCCTATTCCTAGTGGCATTTGAGAATCTGCATTTTAAACATCGCAAGTGGCTTTTGATGTGCCGGCCCCATCTGGGACTCACTGTCCCAGAAAACCTCCCTCTCTCTCCTTTGCCCAGCCCTTACTCACTTTGCCATTCCTGACCCACCCTGTCTGGCCCCAGGAAGGCCGTCCTTCCCTGCTTAGGTTGGTGTCTCTGCAGATGCGCCCACTACATTTTCCAAGTCTTTGGTTACCTCCCCAGAGCCGAGATTGCCCTTTCTTTCCATTTCTTTCACTTGTAGAAATTGTGTGTGACCTTCCATGCTCAACTTCATTATTACCTCAATTTTGAAGCCTTTTCCAGTTGCAAACAGCTGCCCCTGTCTCCCTTAAGTTTTATATCTATAAACACACATTATTTCTGCTGTTTTATCTCAACTTCTCTCTTCTCAACTGAATTCCTTACTCATGTCTTAATTCCACACAAAATCTAGCACAGCACATCTTATGGTACTTGAAAAGTGTTTCTTGAAAGAATAAATGGGTGGAAACTCAACAGAACTCTGTTGTGGTAAGATGTATACATACATTTTCTGGGCCGTTCAGATGATTAAAACTCCCCCTTCCCCCATTTTATGCTTGAGAAGTTAAATCAGTGCTTTTTTGGGCAATTAGCACTGACAGTATTTAGGTAATGCGAAATAGGCATTTGGTTTCTCATCTGACTGGTCTTGGATTATTTAGAAAGCTGGCAAGCCAGGTGCTTCTTGGGCTCCTAAAGTCTCTTCGTCTCTGGACTTCACCCTCAGCTCTATCCCCTTCACTCATTGCCGAGACAGGAGATACATGGCGTACAAGTCAGAATGCACTTAGATAGAAGCCAGACAGCAGGAGCTGGCATTATCGGACCCATCTGAGATTGTTACCTAGGCTGTATTCTGAGTCAGATGTGGACGATGAGAAGCAGGCATTAGTAGAATGGCTTAATAGCTTCTTTTTTCTTTTGGCCAAAATTTTCCACAAAATGTATTCTTGCTTGGAGTTATAAGCCCTTAGATATCCTATTCAGTTGTAAGTACTCTGGGTTGACTCATTGAGAGTAATGAAATAATTTAAAGTTGTGCAGTATTTTCTAACCTGTGAGCTTCTTAAATGTAACGTCATAAATTGTGTCCATGTAACTCTGGTTGGAAGATTTTCCTTGGGCTGTTAGACTATCCTGGCAGATTAGGGCAAGTGCTTTCTAAGCATTTTGTAGCAATTAGAGTGCATGTTTCTTATTGTATTGTTCATGTTGCCATTTAAGAAAGATCTGTGACAGGGAACTGCTCTTAAATTAACTTGATCTAGCTATGTTACTTCCTTCTGAATATCTAATATTACTGGTACAGTAGATACTATCAAAGTTCTGCTTTACTGCTGTTTAATACTCAAAAATAACACTTATGTTGTAACTATACTTATTAGCTGGGCTCCAACATGTTATTACTGTAATCTGGCATCATTTGAGTTTTTAAATAAAACATTTTAAATGAAAGTGACTTTAGATACTTTAATTAGAACATCTATGCATTTATATTATTATCTTTATTGCCTGTTTAGGCTTTTAGTACATTAGTACTTTTTGTTATTTGTTTTAGGCTTAGCAAGGAAAAGCATTAGAATTGAAAGAATTTCTTGAACTTTATAAACAGAAAAATTTGATTTGTCCCAAGATTTTCAGCCTGTTTATGAGCTAGTGTAACCCAAAGCAGAAAGAGGTAGGGTATTTGCGGTTTTTTTGTTTTTTGTTTTTTTTTTGTTTTTTTACTCATGGCTAGTATAGTATTTTCATTTCTGGATCTTTATCCTTTGTCAAATTGTTCTGCTTCAAATATGAGAAGAGAGATATATTGGTACTTGAGTATATGGGGCTAAAAAGCAATTCCATCAAGGTAACACAGCAAAAAATGTGTTAGCTTCAATTTCCGTCCACGACAGCTACTTGTCACACAGTTTTTTTTTTTAAAAGAAAAATCCATCTTGTAAATGACAACACTGACTGCCTTTGGCAGGAGACTTTTATCAGCTGTGTGACCAGATGTGTTTCTGCTGCACATTGTTATGCCAGGTTGAAGATCCAGCAGGATAAGCAGTGGTATTGATATCCTTGAAACGTTATATTTGAAAAGAAAGACAAAAATAGTTGTCTGCATTACACATTCTTAGATCTCAAGAGTGAACATTAGCACTCTTTTCCGCAAATGTGAGCATGCTCTGACCTGATGTTATTAGAGTTAATATAGTTTCATTGTTAAGAAGGGCTTATTGTACATTAATGAGGTAGATTTGTATCTAATAAGAGGTAAACCAGTGTATCCATGTGGCCCACAATTTGCAGCTTAAAAAACAAACATTTAATATTTGACTTCCTTATCTCTGATTATAAAAACATTATGTGTTCATTATGGAAACTCAGGGGACGTAAAGAGAAGTATAAAGAAGCAAGGAAAGAGGTTACTTCTAAATCCAGGACCTTGAGACACCGACTGCTAACATTTAAAGTACTTCTATTTAATCCTTTGGTGACGGGGGGGGGGGGGGGGGGGGGGGGAGGCTGCGTTTTTACATAGGTAACTCAATTTTATATGTTGCTTTTTGTTGTTAACATGAGGTCATAGCATTTTTTCATGCTAATAATTTTTCTGTATGACCTTCGTGTTAAAGACAGCTTAGTTTTTCACCTCAGCGTGAGATCACAGAAAATACATATATTGGTTTCTGCACCCGGTTTCTGGCACAGAGCTCCTAGAACCCTTGTAGTGTTCTAAGTGGTAAGGCCATCTTGTTTTAGTGTTTCACCTTTGACCCCATACTTAACATAGGGCTCCTAAAACCCTTGTAAATTCCTAAGTGATAAGACCACGAAGATCATTTCTTGTTTTAATGAGGTGACTCTGGGGGGACTCCTAAGTGGCTCGTAGATTGAGTCTCGTCACCAAAAAGATGAAGCTAATCAGAAGGCTGGAATTTTCTGTGGGTTCCCCGCCCCCCACCCCACTGTGCTTCCCCATTTCTCTAGAGAGGGGAGAGGGCCTAGAAATGGAGTAAATAACTGATCATACCTACGTGAGGAAGCCTCCATAAATCCCAGTAGGGAGTTTGGGAAGCTTCAAGGTTGGTGAACACAGTCACACTAGAGGGTAACATGCTCCAACTCCATGGGGACAGAAGCTCCTGGGCTCGGGACCCTCCCAGACCTCACCCTGTGTACCTCCTCATCTGGTTGTTCATCTGTATCCTTTCATAAACTGGTAGATGTAAGTTAAGTGTTTCCCCGAGGTCTCTAATCTGCTCTAGCCAATTAATCGAACCTGAGGGAGGAAGGTCAGAAGCACACGTGATAACTTAGACTTGACATTGTCTAAAGTGTGCTGCAGTGTCAGAAATGAGTTCAGTTTGGGGCGCCTGGGTGGCGCAGTCGGTTAAGCGTCCGACTTCAGCCAGGTCACGATCTCGCGGTCCGTGAGTTCGAGCCCCGCGTCAGGCTCTGGGCTGATGGCTCAGAACCTGGAGCCTGTTTCCGATTCTGTGTCTCCCTCTCTCTCTGCCCCTCCCCCGTTCATGCTCTGTTTCTCTCTGTCCCAAAAATAAATAAACGTTGAAAAAAAAAATTCAAAAAAAATAAAAAAATAAAAAAATAAAGAAATGAGTTCAGTTGTAGAACACCCAGTTGGTGTCACAGAGAATTGCTTGTGGGGGAAAACCGCCCACATATCCGATGGCCGGACGTGTTCTGTCTTAGTGGAAAGGGAAACACATAGGAGAGAACACTGGGTTGTTCCCTGCTCACTCGGTTTCCTGCTTGTTGGCCAGTAGGGGGGTCTAGTGAGAGTGTGTCATGTTCTGGCACACTTCTTCAATTGTGCGTGTCTGGCAGTAAAGTCAAATTCCTGTCTTTATCACACTCGAGAGGGAGCCTTGATGCCTGTGCTGCTCGTGAGTTGCAACATACATACGTTGTCATTTAAAACCATTTCTGAAGTCACGTGCAGCCAGAGATGGCATGTCCTAGTCGGTAGCATTGCTATTTTCATTATTGTGTGTCTTACAATCTAGAGTATCTTAGATGAAATG